ACACTTTCAAGTGCTTTTACTGTTACAAGGATCTACTTGATTCATGTGATTTTTCTCATGTGCAGAGTTCAGCTTTCTAGTATGCCTTATAACAAATCTTTTTGCTTGCATTTTTTACCTATTATTATATAAATGAGGGTATATATTTTGAGATGGGTGTGACATTTCAATTGCAATTCCAGGAAATTATTAAGAACATGTATTATATGGGGCACCTGAGAAAACCTGTTTTAAACAGTATTGGATAATAAATTTGATTCTTCATGTTAGGTTTTTTTTTTTCCTCTTGACCTCTTTCTTCAGCATCCAAAGCATGGATGCTGCCCTGTCCAGGGTTTCATCAGCATCTCTCTTTGCTCATCTTGTTCTATGAAGAACCTTAAATGTTTCTCCTGTGAAAAATAAACTAAATGTGCATTGATGCAAATTTTCCCTTTCAGGTTATGCTTCAGCTTTTTGCAATCCCTACATAGGCTACAGTTTTTTCTTTACTTTGAAAATGCATTTTGGTTTTGCAGAGAGCATCGAGGGGTAAATGTTTCTCTAGCGGGTTTCATTAATGAAGTTGGAATAGAGCTTGAATACAGACAAAGAGAGCTTTTTGGGTGGTTCAGCTGGTCCTGCCTGACCACCTGTAGATGGGAAGAGTTTGAAACACAACCAAGAGACAGCAATGCCTGTCAGTAGCACTTCTGAGTCTGCTGTTAGAAATCTAGAGAGAACCGACATAGCTTGGGTTGGGAGGATAGAAAACTAGGAAGGCCTCCTAAGTTAAAATGTAGCAGGAGACGTCAAACTGTTGCTTTTGGCTTCTCTTTCTCTGACTTAGGAATTTCTGTTAAACAAACGTGATTTCACAAAGGTTTGCTTTCAGAATCTGGAATGAGCTTCAAATAAAGCTTGAGGCTTTCCCACTGATAAATTTGTCAGAAAATATTTGTGGGGGCTTTTTTGTCCTTCTTTCTTCTGTATATTAACATAGAAAAGTAAATACAGTTTATGATCAGTAGGAAGATGCCCACTTGAAAATATTACTGCATATACAATTATACATATATCCACAGTTTAAAGTCTATATTTCACACATCACTAAAATGCTACATAATTAGAAGTATATATTCTTTGTAGTATCTCTCTCTGGAGTACCTCTGTTTTATTTACATTTTTTTCCCTCTCTAGGCTAAACTCTTAATTGAGCGGACCTAATAATTATTTCATGTGCATGAAGTTTATTCCGCTGTAATTTAGATAAAATATGCTTGGCCCCTGGTAGCCGTATTCATAAGGAGGGGACCATTTTCTAATTTGACACTCCCTCTCCAGTGGAGAATTCCCTGTGTGGAGGTGAAGCCATTGGAAGCCCTTTTCCACCCCACTCACTTCATCCATGGGTGCAAGGCTGTAGTTCTCTTTCCATACTAAACCTCTGCTCTGCTTTAGCCACTGTGTCTGTAGGACACCTGGTAACGCTTTCCTGGTGTTTTACGTTCGAACAGGGGCATCCCTGTTCTAGGAGGCAGCAGTGCCAGAGGGTGTGAGATCAGGGAACCGGCTCCCACTCTGGGTCTTAGTGGCAGCAGTGGAAAAATCTAGCGGCTGTGGTTAGTCACAGGGTAATACCAGCAATTCCCATGGGGCTGGAAAAAAGGCTTCTGAGAGGCTTTGCAGGGTTGGGGCCTCTGCAGCTATTTTCCTAACCCCTAACATTCAAAAATCATTAATCTAGTGTAGAAATAATAAACTCTCTGTGTGTTTGTAGGGCCTTCCGTGAACCTAAAAAGATAGGAAAAGTGAAAAAAGGAAAAGTAAACTTCACATTTTTGCACCACTACTTAACGCCAGAAGCTGGAACTGTTAAGAAAAACAAAAAATAGCGACTTGTGATAAATGCATGAGTGCTGTCAGCATTAGAAATTCCTGTATCAGTTGTTGTTTTTATCCAGCGTTCCTGTAACAAATTTTTCATCTCAATTAACCCCACGTGCTGTATCACTGAAGAAAAGATTTGCATTTCGAGACGTTCCCTCTGCCTGTCTGTCAGGACGACACTGCTGACAGGGTTTGCACTTACTTTTCCTGTATGTGCTGATAGAGTCTTCAGGAACGGCTTTGTAGTTCAGTCAAAAATGGATAATTTACTGCACAGCTTAATGTTATCACTAGATGCAGTTTACAGCATTGACCTAAGTTACTGCTGGTCCTACTCAGAGGCTGTCTGAGGCCATGCTTTCCTATCCAGTGCTGCTTAAATAAATGTATAGGAACATTCCATTCTTCTAAGTTCTCTGGCCACTTAACTTCTTACACAATTAAGTTACAGATCCAATTATAAAGTCCATAATTTTGGAGCACTTGTGATTTATGAAGTTTTTCAGAATGCCTGACCATGAGTAGTGTAGTGTAGTGTACGTTGTCACCCTCACCGGGAGAGGCAGATAGGCAGTGTTTGTGTCTAAATAGCATTTTCATATTTTCTCCATTTGTTAGACTTTTTCCTTGAGCAAGCATTGTGTTTATTGATTCCACAAAGGTGTTGGGCCCTCTGTGGAAAAGGTTGTCTACAGGAAAAGAGATGGAGAGGTTGAATGGTTATGAGGGATAGCTGATGATGAAATGGAAGCAGTCAGGGATCAAAGGGTTAAAATGGAGAAGCAGGGAGCCAGAGGGGAAAGCAGCCACTGTCAGGTACTGGATGTGAGGCTTGAGACATTCTTGGTCTGACCTGGTGTCACAGCTTCTGTGTTGATTACCATTGTGGTAATTAAAAACATTCTCCTTTGTATAAAACCTCACCTGTGTGCATAAAAGAGAACAGTTATTTTTATAGATATCTTATTGATGATATATATGAACCCCATGGTAGTAAGAATGAAAAAGTCTTCAGCAAATATTTTGTATTATGTGAAAAATAATCATTAAAAATAGTCTATAAATCGGTGAAGCCTGAAAATACTGGGTAGTGAATGTGCTTGCACACCATTGCAGCCCCTCCATTTCTAGCTCATAGAGTATAATCCCATGTTCTCCAGTACTCAGGATGGTATCAGTGGCTGAAACAGTGAGAGGATGAAAGCAGGAAACTGGTATTCATAGCCATTGTAACATTTTGCAGTGTGAAACCAGGGATCACTTTATGCTACCAGGAACAGATGAGAAATAAATATCATCGCCAACTTTATTAAAAGCTCATCCCTATTTTTAGAATCTTTTAGAATTCTTTCACAATTTTTAGAACATTTTCAGTATTGTGTCATCATATGGTGCCAACTCTGCTATATCATAGTGTGAGAAGGATTGTTCAATTTCTTTTATGTTACACCCAATCTCTGCTTTTTGCCAAAAGAAGACAAAAGAAAAGAAAAAAAAAAAAAAATCCCATTGCAGTCCTCACTCCAAACCAGAAATAATAATTTTGTATCCTGGTGAGTTTAAGTGGCAGATGAAATGTTAATAGTAATTTCTAGCATATTTATTTCTATCAGGTTATGCAAATCAAAGTGATTTAAAATTATTCTATTAGCTGCAACAGTCCATCTTCAGAATACTTTTGTTTCATCATTGTTCACAACGGTGTTATATTGTGTATGAACACAACCTGATAAGACAGCTAAGGTTTCTGTGACTTTTTTTCATGAAAGCAAGAAAGCACAGAAATCAAGGATGAGACAGCCCGAGTGACCAAAGCCTTATTGCCAGTGGGTGATCACTGATAGCAGAAACACCCAGGGGTTCTCAGAAGCCTTTACTGTATGTCTAAGCAGCGTATATTCGCGCTAACCTTATAACCTCTGCCAAAGAAAGAGTTCAGAGGAACTTTGACTGCAATATTACAGCTCCACAGATAGTGGAAAATACTGTATATTTGCATATGTTTTAATTTTCATTAAGGGTGATTTTCCAAAGGCTCTTTGCTCTGTCTGTACTTGATACTTTCAGTCATTCCTACAATGACTCTTCTTCTGGTTTATTGTTGTAGGAGGCATAGATTTTTGTTACCATAATTTCAGTCTGCTTTCATGTTTATTAAAGTAATCTGTTGTATAATGTTAAAAATAAAAAATTTTAATGATTTTTAATAATCTAGATTTTAGTACAGTCCTAGCTTTTACGTAATTACTTGACAAATAATAAATAATGTTTTGAGTATAGCACTAGCATCAAAAAATTAATAATTTCACTAATTTATAATGTAGAATATTTATTTTGTATAATGTTTTAATTACTTTTATTACGTCTCACTTAAATACCAATATATTTTTTTGAATAGAAAAATCAATACAGTCCATTACTTGATAGGCATTATAAACCCTCTTGATTTGAAAGTTCCAGTATGTATGAATATCCCTTACATTTGGAGTTGGGTATGTGTGTGATACTGTATATAACATATTGTAATATGTGACATTATGCTCCAGAAACCTTAAATCATTATTTTCTTGCCTGTAATTTTCAAATACAGCACTTGAAATTGTGTGTAGTTTTAATAACATATTGGTAAATAAGGCAGTATGAAAATTATGTGATAGTAAAACTGTGGGTGGAGGCATGGGAACCGAAATGAGACTGCTGTTTCTCAGTACTGAAACAGTAGATTGTGGACTTATGTTTTTCCTTCTAAATATAGCAATCATGGAAAACTTGTGCAGCTGTGAGCTTTGCATGTTCTTTTAGATCAGTCTGTTAGTACACCTTGATGCTGCCTTTTGCTCATTACACCTTCATGAGGAGTCCCTGTCTTTGCCCAGTGTTGTGTTTTATAGTTTAGCAAAATGTCTAATAGAGAAACAGCAGAAATTACTTCATTTGTGTCATAAAACTTCAAAACTGAGAAGCAAACCTGCTAGTTATGCTTCTGTTGAATCATTGTGGGAGACTATTTAATCTCATTTTCAGGACTGTTGCACTGTAACTGTTTCATAGCTAGTCTCAATACCTGGCAGGTTCTTACTGTATCACTTAGTGCTGCTCTGTCATTTAATGCATAATTTTCTTTATTGCAGAAAAAGCAGCAGCAGCTAATGAAGATGAAGTGCAAAAAGCAGATGTATCGTCTACAGGTCAGAGTGTCATCGACAAGGATGCACTTGGACCAATGATGCTTGAGGTGAAGAGCACAAAATTCCTTTATTCAAGCCAGTTCTGCTCTTCCTAGAATGAAGAGCAGTGTAATGAAATGAAAAAGTGCCATTGGAGGTCACTGTACAAGAGAGACAAGCCATCTTGGCTACTTAGAATTATGTCATTTAAGAGCAGGCAGCATATTTCTATTGGATTTAGTGATGAAACTCTCTTTAATTTGGGGTGGGGAGAGGCAGAGAAAGAGATACTTCAGCTGCTTTGTAACACAGACAACTAGGAGGTCTTCAGCTGGTAGCAAGTCTTGGGTGTCTGTTATGTGCGTGTTTTATTTGTTCTAAAACCTGACAGTTTTGGAAGACCTGTTGTACCTAAACATTGACTTAGATATACAGTAGTATACATGTGAATAATACTTCCTCTAAAATTGCATGTCATTGCTATACTGTTTTAATGGTTTATAATTTCAGCACTTACAGCATGACTCTTCCCTCTAGAATGTGAAAGTAATCTGGGAGAGCTTTTCAAGCAGTGTTTTTGGGTTTGTTCAGTCTGATTTTTAGCTGTTATTTTGATATCCCAAAAGTCTGCATGGTTAAAACCTAGCTTCTAAATGTACTAATAGTAATGTTGGGTAGGTATGTTATCTGGGATCCTAATGTCATATGCTGCTGTCCTTTGGCACTACTGCTTTATCTGCTTAAGCTCACTTGCAAAGTGTTTATTCCTGTTCTGATTGTGGACTTTATCTATAAGGAAGAATAAATTTTACGTAGATAAAACACAAACTCTGAATCAAGCTAAAGGAACCAACTTTGTCCGAAACAGAATTATTCTGTCATTGCTGAATGTTGCAGGGCCAAGATGCACGTTATTTTTCATTATTTGTTAGATGCAAACATAGTTTCCTGTACTAGGTAACAACATAAAAGCTCCAAAATCACAGTACTAAACGTAAGGAAGATTAGGTAGGTTGGAATGAAAACATTCTTTGAAAAGCAGGGGTAACAAATTAATTGATTTAATTTAGTATTTATTATATGTGTTCACTGAATTGAATATTGTTCTTTTTGCTATCAAACAAGTTTAAACATCCATCTCTTACATTGCTATGTTAAAATTTATCTTTAACTTCCTATTAATTTAATTGTAAGGACCTGTTTTAATCACAGGGAAAATAAGGATAAGGATTTTTTTTTTTCCCCAGCTTATCTTGCATGATTGGCTCCTGCAGCAAACATGACGTAAAATCAACCGTCTGTCCCATTATTGCATTTATTTTAGTTTTCCTTCACAGTAAAACCATTGCATATTAAACATGAAAGATCGTGGAACTAAATTAATAAACAGTGGTCCTTTTGCACCAAGAAACTTAAAAGTATAACAACCAAAAGTTGTTATACGTTTACTGTGAAAAGACTATGGATACTTTGTGTCTTTATCTCCTCAAGGAAATGCAATTAAGTTACTTCATCCTTACAGAACTCCTTTATACAACCTCTTCAAAAGCCTACCCTTTTCCATTGCTGAATAATAATGTCAATGCTGATGAACAGTTTATTAGTTGATTTGGTTTAGAAATGTAATTGTCTGTTTTTATTAAAGAATAAAACTGAAGAATCCTCAAAATAGTGAGTGTTTCCAGCTGAAGACAGTGAGTAAAATTCATCATGCAGCTGCCTCTGAGGAACATTTTAACATATTTCTTGGTTAAAGCAGAAAGTAGATAAGAGGAGAGGGTGAAAACCTAGTCAGTGGAGCTGACAGCAGCTCAAAGAATGCAAATGTATTTTCTGTTTCAGTATATCATCTAAAATAATATCTGTTCTCTCATTTTCTCTTCCAGCATGTTGTCCATTATTTGTTCCCCCATTGTCCCAATAGCTCTGAAGAAAAGTGTGCTGGCCTTCATTACTGTTCTAGTTGTTTATTGTGGTGGCATACATCTGGGGACAGAATTAAGAAATAACTGCAAAAGTGGAAGCTTCTAGAGATTGAAGTTGCTTGATGCATTAACTTGCTCAAATGCCTGCTTCTGCTTACCTACAAGATTATTTTATTTATAGAATAGAAAGAAATGGGAGACTGGTATATAAGGCCATGTTTTACTCTAGGCTCAGATGACCACTTCTGTGGTCAACCCAAGAAACAGCTGTGAGGAAACAGCACAAAGTACTTCCTTGCCAAAGAAGTTGCCATAGTAGGAAATATTAGGGAAAACTGAAGATTACTGTGGGATGCCAGTAACGCTCATAACCTCTTGCTTCTCATCTCTGCCTTTGAAGGTTTTCTCCTTAGGACTTTGATAAACATCTGCTGTGGGTTTGGTTTTGCAATCTCTTTGAACTGATGTAAGCATGGACGGCTGCCAAGCAGAATGGTTCAGCCAAACCCACAGCCTTCTGCAAGCTCTAAACGCCATATCGTTTCATGATGGGCCAGTTCAGGGGACTGACGTGGCTAGCTTTTTTTTTGTTTGTTTTTCCTTGCATTAGTTTTCAGCCAACTCGGTTCTCTGGTCCGGCTCTTCATATCCTCAGAAAGTACAGGGAGCTGTCGCGGTATAGAGAGAACTAAACCAAAGTGGTCATGCTTACATTGGCTTCAAGCAGTGGTGAAATATAGTCTGAGATACTAATCTATAGCAGAGATGCTGATAGAAAATTGTATTAGTGCCTAAATTAATTAAATCTTGTAAATCATTGTTAGTTAAACTAAATATTAGTCAGCAG